AGTCCAATAACAAGCGTTTCCTTTGACTGATCATCTGCATCCACTTAAGACATTTAGTTGCAATGGACGTCTGAGGCCTGTCCATTCAGACTCGAAATCTACGTTTTCTTGATCTGCATATTTGAAACTCTGCCACACGCTGCTTTGTTTGTTAGTGGCGACACGTATATCTTTCCACTAATGGTAAGAGGTTCGTAATTTGCTGTCGTTAATGACTACTGATGAAAGATTCCACACCAGAACATACCGGGCTCATCTATCAGTAAATGGCTCAAGGTCCCTAAGCATACTGATTATACACATATCTTTGTCTTCCTCTCGTATGTCCCGTCCCTTCTCGCCGGATCCACACCCAATTCCTCGTTGTAAATGGTCTTTTAGAACGTCTTCTATTGATCCAGTGCGAAAATAACTCTTACCGCAGCTATAACACGTAGAAAGAACAATTCTACGGCCTGATGAAAACACATATGACTTAAAACCAGTGTAAAAGCGTGCATAATCTGCAAAAAGATGCACAGTATCAAGATATGAGCATGTGAAAGGAAATGAAACAGCAGACATACTGGCCGTGTCTGTAGAAGACGTATGGACAGGGCAGGTGCACTGATCTTGCCTTTGGACAATCATGCAGAACCCAGCTTCAGGGCCCCACACACAAAGATATGTCTCCTACTGAGTACAGTGAGCAAAGAGACAATAAGATGGTTGATGCATTTAGAAGATGGAACAAACAATGGATCGGAATGCTGCATTAGGATGTCGATTCAGATATCCAATAAAAAATGCTTTTGACAAATTTTGTTCATATTTTTTTTTCAACACGTAACAAAGTCGGCGTCTATGGCTTTGGCATTGTAAACGTCTTTTGTAATGCCGAGATATCCGGTTTCATTCCAGTTGCGGATGATCAGACAGCAGACCGCCATGCGTTGTTTTTGACAATGGCATCTATACCCGATGGTTGAACAGCAAAGACTACTGAACGTAAAACTGCCTTGTAAAAGCACTAAACAACTCACAAAATCCTGGGGTGGGTTCTGCAAAGTCATGTAAAGCAAGCATGTAAAACTGGCCCTCTGCAAGCACACATGCAGCCCGCATTAAGGAAATATTCTGCCATTATTTTTTTAATGACTTAAATTAGTTGTCATGTGTGGCCCTCAAAACGAGAAATCTGGACCCACATGGAGACCCTCAGTTTGACATGCCTGACATTAAAAGACAGGCAACTAACTTTTTTCTGAAGTAAGAACACAAACTCGTGGACAGGTCCCAGAAACCCCTTTCAGCCGTTGGGCCATATCTATATTCAGGGCCCCCAGCAAAAGCCAGGATAGGGCTTTAAAATAAAATAAAATAAAATAGCGTAAGAAAAGGGACGACTATAGAAGCCCCAATGGTAGACGCCCTAATTACAAATTTAACAAAACCGACGGAACTAACACATGTAACACTGATGTCAATTCATCATAAGGGATCAATCGAAATGCACTGAGAACACTTGTGGACACTCCGATACAGATCGGCGCAGCACCGCAGTGTAGGAGAATCTGGGAATAGTGACACACAACCCGCGCTGCAACAGCGGTAAAGATAGTAAGGGCAATAATTACAATTAGAAAAACTGTCTACTGCCTAGCATAGTTACTTCCCTTTTAACTGCAGTATTTACACTCTGGACAGCTGAAGTGCCAGCCCAGAAAGTCGAAACTGAATGTTTTGATCGCCCTGCCTGCCCGTCCGAAAGTCTTAGGTTCGAATCTACATCAAGCCGGATTTTTCTTATTTTTTAAAACTGACTTTGGCATCTAGGTCGACACCGCCAAAAATGCGTACTAGATAAAGTCCCAAGACGTAAAGGCAGTCTTGCATTAATGTTGATCACATCACCCATGTTCGATGTGCCATTGGTGTGACTATACTATTATTCCTAAACGGTTTGATAAAATCACTCATGTAGAACATTAGGGAAGATCCAGTGAATAAAGAGGTGAGGAAAAGATGCCAGCATTGGATAGACACATTGCGAGAACACGATGACCTATGTAATTGTGGGATTACTAAATGCTTGGGTTCCTTAAACATATTTGAGTTCTCAAACGGCTTGACTGAAAAAAATGAGAGCAAAAGTTACAAGATAAGCTCCACTCAGGGTTAGTTCAGCATTTGCATTTTAACTTCATTAGTTTCTTTGTGTTTTGTTTCAGTGTCGAGAGGGAAAAAAGTGCCTGGGGGTTTGTAATGAAAGCAAACAGAAAATCTTTAGTGCAAGACAGTCTGGCATACGGTAACTGCAGCTCTCCAGTGGTTACAGAACAAGATGCATACACATGTTGTAATTGTAACAGACTTTGAAATGCAGAGAAAGGTGGAGACAGGGATGCTTCAAGCAGAGTGGTAAGCTTTACTGGGAAGGTCACAGGTAGTGAGCATACTTTAGATCTGTCTCCAGGCTATGGCAGCGCAGTGCATAATGAACAGGCAGACAGATTGGCTGGACCTGCAACACTGGGTGACGAACTGATACATGACTAGGCAGATGTGGTCAAGGCCCTTTGGGAACAGGCAACAGAATCAGTAGAGAAACAAGATTATTATGGCCGGAGAGAATGAGGCACCTGGGTGTAACCAGAGAGTCTGGCCAGCTCACTACACTCAGAGGAAAGGCAAGACGAACATATAACCAGATTGTGACCGGTACCATCAGTATTGGAACTCTGTGGCAGCTGCTGAAGATGAGGATGGAGCACACATTGACTCAAATCAATCAACACTGTTGGGGCATCATAAGTGGACTTTCAATCAGGTTGAAACTGATACTATAGGCCAGTCACTGACTCCTTGGCTACTGAAGAAGGGGCCAGACCAGGTCACAGAATGTCCTAGAGTGCAGAGATGACAATTCTTGATTCACCCATTCCGCAGGAGTTTTAAAGCCAGTGAACATGAAAAAAAACGACTCTGCAGTTACACACACAGACATTCAGTTTGTGAACCTCAGCTTATTTGACATAGTCTTTCCAATCCACCTCAATGAAGTATGGACCCTCAACCGACTAACACTAAGCTATCCTACCATTTGCTATCACCTGCAGCTCACCCCTTTTCCTCTCCATCTTTTTTTCCCCACTTCACTTTCTAGTTCCTCTCTTGATGTGTGTGTTTTGTGGGTATTTTTGGAGGGTCTACCTTTACTTCTATGTCCCCTGTGGGTTCCAGTGCAATAACTTGCCTCTCCGGCAGATATACCCTGACTCTGAGCAATCCTCCAATTAGCATGTGACCTGAGGAGGCAGTGGATCTATTCTTGTCTTCCCCCAGAATGCCCATGAGGACAGGGTGAAAACAATCTAATTATATATACTGTACTCAGATCTTGTCTTAGGCAACATTTAATGAAGTGCTGTAGGTTTAAAGCTTTGACATCTAGTCTATTCTGTGATAAGGAGCCTATGATTATCCGCATGGAACATGCTGATGCTATCACTAGTATCTGCTGTTCAGTTAAAATCTGTGATTACCAACTGGCCTACTTCTACCAGGGCAACACAGAACTTGCTCACTTATACTAGCTAGATCCAATCTAGCACACATTTTGAATACATGCAGAGCAGAAGGTTAGAAAAGAAATTCTAACATATCATAAAGACATATCCCACTCCAAGACGTGGGGTCGTACACCTATTTGATCAGCAATGTAGCTAAAGATGGGGGAAATAGAATGTTGAATGCTGAATTAAGAATCGACATCGCAGCACTCAGGACACCCAAATAAGTGCTCTGTCCCCATCTTCAGCAGCCAGTGAAGAGATTTAATTTTGATGTCACCAATAAATGTCTGATTGTATATCTGTCTTGCCTTTCCTCTAAGTGTTGAGAAAAAATCCAAAGGATGCTAACTATCCAGACACTCTGAAATGATGCTTATCACTCTGCATGGAGCAGATGAAGAACTGACATAGAGATATCAAAATATGATAACGAAAGGCAAGAGAAGTTTTACTAGCACTAGGAAATCTGAGGAGGTGAGTGGAAAGGCAAATAAGAAGAAGAAAAATCCTTGTTTTGAAAAGACTGCAGAATCTATAGATGAAATGTTTGTAGTTACTATGGACAAAATGGATGTTGTATAGTTACCCAAATCTACAGAGAAATCTTCTCTAGTTACCCAGGTCAGTAAAGAGAATGTGCGTTGTATAGTTACCCAGAGGACTGAGTGGTCTCGAGGTATGGCCTCCACCTCGAGTGCTGGAGGTCCCGGGTTCAAGTCCCGGTGAAGACCTAGTAATTTCACCTGGTCTACCCAGAGGTAGTAAGACCGGACACCCGTGTGTATTGTGCATGTAAAAAAAAAATACCTCCACAGTTGGAAATCAAAAAAGAGCAGTCTAAGAGAACAGCTCGGGCAAAATTTTGAGTTTAAAATCTGCCCCAAATATTTCAGGATCCTCGCTGGTGCAACAGAGTTCGTGCACCGCGCTGAGATTCTTCAGATTACACCCTTGTGCCATGATGTTGATCCGCTGAATTAACATAAAAATAATGTCTGTTATACTAATGAAGTGGTTTGGACACCTAACAAGAATTCCCTGGTACTATCTGCCACAGCGAGCCACACTAAAACGTTACAACAGGTATAGAGCGAGTGGAAGACCTCAGAAAAAATGGAGTGATGGCATTAAGAACAGCTTTACAGAAATGAACATCAGTCTTAATAGTACTCTTGACAGAGCTCATCAACGAACATTACATCTTCCCCCGACACTTCGATGAGGTACAAGGTGGAAGAGAAGAAGAAGATGTAGCTATCCAGATATGTAGACAGAATGAATTCAACTGTAGTTACCCACAATTAGACAGAATATGCTGTACCCCAGGTCTGGAGCCAGAACACGAGGTCCAGTTACCCAGATCTATAGACAGAACATGTATGAGTGCTGACCTGGATGGTTAAGTCAAGAGATATGGACTATATGGTGATCTCAAAATACACTCACCTGGAAGGGTTGAATCTTCTGAGGTGATGACATGGACTGCTGATTCATAGAACTTGTTAACTGGCCTGCTGACATCTGGTCAAGGCCCAAACCTGGACTTCTGGAGAACATCTGATGCTGTATTTGGATCGACTGGCCATTTAACTGTGACAGCTGCATGTGAGGGTGCCCTGCTCTGATGGGTCGGATCTGAGTTGTCTGAGGCATCATCTGTTGTTGCTGCGGCTGCTGCAAGCGGACATTTCCCCCAGGCAACCGAGGCAGTTGCTGGGGAGATGCATGCTGAAGCATCTGTATGTTCTGCTGGTGCATCTGTGGATTTGAAGCAAGCTGCTGCTGGGGCATGTGAAGCTGGTGCTGCGAATGAAGGATTCTCAGTCTCTCTTGAATGTCCAAAATCTGCTGTGAAATTTGCTGGTTCTGTGGCAAGTTCACGAGCTGTTGTAACTGCTGCTCCAGTCTTTGAATCTCCATGTTGTTCTGGGGGATGATCCCTTGATTGGGACTTAAAGGGCCACTGGATTGTGCAAGTATTATCTGGCCTTGAACTGGTCCTGAGAAGACGGTCATGGTAGGGTTGTTCTGCATAGTTAGTTGTCCTTGCATGGCGAGGTGTCCCTGATTAGTGTTCATGCCACTAGTAGCTTGCATACTACCTCCCATGGTGACTGTCGAGGAAACCGTAGTGGTTGGAAAGTTTGAAGTGCTATATATTGGGCCCTGTGGAGGCTGTCCTTGCAGGACTGAACCCCCTGTGGGGGAGCCAGAACTCTGCTGCATGAGCTGCTGGTACGGATTGCTTCCTCCAACGCTGGGTGTGACAAGCTGCTCCAGCTGTTGGAGACTGGACTGACCGTAGGATCCCTGAGAGCTGCTGCTGTGATTGGGTGTGATTGATTGTGGAGGGGGAGTGGGACGTGGGGAGGAGGTTGCATTGTTAGGTCGGGCCTGGGCAACAGGGGGATAAGGAGGACAGTAAGTTTGGGCAGAATTCTGACCTGTGTAGTGAGACACTGCAATGGAGCCATCTGATCTTGGCTGCTGGTTGCTAGTATAGGGCGGGTAGTGCTGGGCTATGTTTCCTGAGTTGATCTGGCTCTGGTTATGTGAAGTCATGATGTCACCTGCATACTGTGAAGCAGCTGACATGCTTTGACTGATCTGCGTGTTGTACCCTCCCTGTACCATGGAGGTATGCTGAGGGGCAGGAACCTGATGCGGATATGAGCCACCTCTAGGAGGTAGCTGATTGATCATGTTTACTGAAGCAGGTGGGCTTGCCATTCCTGTCTGCATGGGATTGGGTGAATGTATGTATGGAGATACAGTTGATGCCATCTGATTTGTAGGAGTGTACGCATTCATCTGAGACATCTGCTGTGGGTGGTAGCCCTGCGGAATCTGCTGTGAGTGGTTCATAAAAGGAGACATGTGACTCTGGGGCCCACTGGACATGAACTGGCCGTGCGAATGATTAGGACTAGTCTGGGCCTGGTTCCAGCCTGCACTTGGGGACATCATGGGAGACATCTGGGACATGGCTGGCTGCTGGGGGTGCCCAAGTGGACCCATCCCATAGCCACCATATCCTGCTTGCTGCTGAGTCATCATGCCCACAGACGGACTAAAAGGTCCTTGCTGAGGTTGCATATGTTGCTGCTGCTGCTGTTGTCCTCCAGGTACTATCATCATCCCTTGGGTATGACCAATCTTTGGCATAGGATTGGAATACTGAACATACTGGTCAGCTGTATACTGCTGATGGCCTAACATGCCCACCTGAGAGCAGTGCATGTCCCCGTAAGATGGTCCATCCTGACCGATGCCTGACTGGTAAGAGCCTGCCATACTTGTCCCTGGAGTTTGGTTTTCCAACATCAGGCCTGCAGTAAGAGATAAAACAAAAATTATGGGATGCACACAAGACCCTCATGAGAAATCAACCAGCTGTTCCTTTAAAGAACGTCGCTCTCGTCACGGCACACCTGGAAGTCTATCTCCCTCTAGCCAATTCTCTGCACCTTATCTGCCTTCAGGACCAATGCATTTTTTAATGTCTTACATCCACGTTCGTAGAGGCCTGCCTTTGATTTGTCAATCCTTAAATCTTTACATACAACTATAGCAATTATCACAATTATTTTTACCAGCATCGCAATGTTTAAATAGTTAATTAGTTGCATGTCCTTTACAGAACGTTGCAGACCAGCAGTTTAGGGCTGTTTAGTTTTTTTTAGGAAAATTGTACATTCAGTAGTTTGCCACTGCCGTCTAAACGGTCAGCTCTCGGAACCACTGTCGAAACCACCGCAAGACAAACCATCTGCAGCTACCTAACCCGGCATATCAGCCTTATATGCTTTCATGACAAATGCATTTTTTATGTCTCACATCCACGTTCACAGAGGTCTGCCTCTTCTTTGTTTCCAGAAACTGTACCCTTCACCACTGTTCTCTTTAGGCCCTCGTGTTTAACAAGACCAAAATACTTCAGCTTTGGCTACAGAATGCAGTCTATGAACCTATTCTCTTCATTGTCCAGACTATAGGGGATATCACTGTTTTCTTATTTATGGTCTGTGGCATTCTCTTAATTTTTTAGTAGTATTAAAAAAAGAAAAACACAGTCAATCGTACAACAAGCAGTGCTTTACAAATATAGGACCTTTTTTGCGCAAATGGTGTATCTGGCACACGATGGCAGGCCCATGTATTGTGTAGACCAATCAGCATTTGGTTGGGGATGTATCAACAACATGCTGGCTGCCTTCACTTCACAGGACATTACCTGGAAACAATTAGAGTAGTGGTTCTCAACCTTCCTAATGCTGCAACTCTTTTTTATAGTTCTTCGCGTTGTGCTGATGCTTTCAAAAGTTCCTTAGACTGTAGTGACTCCCAAACATACAATTATTTTCGTTACAACTACATAACCTCAATGAATATGTGCTTTCAGATGGTCTCTGGCAACCCCTTAAAAAAGGGGGACCTTTGACCCGAAAAAGGATCATGACCCACAGGTTGAGAACCATTGGGTCGACCTGAGAGCCAAGGTCATTTCTAAAGAAAGAAAAAAAAAGGCCAAATGTGGATTCCAACATAAGAGGTTTAGGTCAGTAGGTGAGTGTCTAAATGCTATAGTTCCCAGCCTTAGGCCTTCACAGTGATTCCTCCAAGAGATGGGGTAACCAGCCCCCCTCCCTTAAAAAATAACTTTGTTTTACAACTGCGCTGAGACATCTTATAAAGCTTGGGTGGCCACTGAATATATGCTGGGATGAAACAAACAGATAACTAGGCACCGATGGTTAACTTAATGACTTTTCACTGGAATCAACAGGGACACAAAAATAAAGGAAGAACAAAAAATACACGGAGAAGGGAGCTAGAGAATAAAGTTGTAAAGACGGCAAGAACAAGGGGGAGAGCTGCATGCGATAGCGAAAGATAGAACGACTTCATGTGAGTTGGTTGAGAGCCTATGCTCCACTGGAATATTAGAAAGGCAGAAGCAGAGAAATGATTAACATAGCATTATCTGGTGGAGAATAAAACAGAATCTAATTAGATAACCATTATTAACTTAGGTTATCTAGAGAGATTTTAATACAGATAATCGGAAACTAGGGTTGAATTAGTACAATCCGCATAATCATGGTTAAATTAGTATTATCGGGAGACAGCAGAGATATTTGGTTAACCACTGTGTCATGTTGAGAGGAAGACATATCTGGTTAACCATTGTGTCATGTGGAAAGGGAAACATATCTGGTTAACCACTGTGTCATGTGGAGAGGGAGACAGATACTTGGTTAACCACTGTGTTATGTGGAGAGGAAGACAGATACTTGGTTAACCACTGTGTTATGTGGAGAGGGAGACATATTTGGTTAACCACTGTGTTATGTGGAGGGGAGACATATTTGGTTTGCCACTGTTTTATGTGAAGAGGGAGACATATTTGGTTAACCACTGTGTTATGTGGAGAGGGAGACATATTTGGTTAATCACTGTGTTATGTGGAGAGGGAGACATATTTGGTTTGCCACTGTTTTATGTGAAGAGGGAGACATATTTGGTTAACCACTGTGTTATGTGGAGAGGGAGACATATTTGGTTAATCACTGTGTTATGTGGAGAGGCTAGGGAGACAGATTTTTGGTTAACCACTGTGCTTTGTGGGCAGGAGGAGGTAAAACAGACATCTGGTTAACCATAATGTTAATAGTATTCTCAGGTGAGAGAGAGTAAAGAAAAACATATCTGATTAACCACGGTGTTAACAGTATTATCTGGATTTTTTTTTTTTAACAGATAAGTGGATAACCCTGGTTGACTCAGTATTCTCTGGAAATAAACATTTATAGAAGGATTGCGTTGGATAGCTGCTAACTGTCTTAGTGATCATCCTATGTGTAGCTTGCAGGTTACCGCCGACTGCAGAGGCAACTTGTTGTGGATAGAAAGTTACAAGTGCTATGCACTGGGTCTTGTCAGGCACCACAAATAGCAAGTCCTATTCTAACCATGATAATATGCTCCCTCTTCTAACCATGGACAGCTAATACCCTTCCAACCATGACAATATGCTCCCCTTCTAGCCATGGACAGTTATTCCCCTTCTAACCATGACAAAATGCCCCCCTTCTAACAACGGACAGCTAATCCCCTTCTAACCATGACAAAATGCTCCCCTTCTAACCATGACAAAATGCTCCCCTTCTAACAACGGACAGCTAATCCCCTTCTAACCATGACAAAATGCTCCCCTTCTAACAACAGACAGCTAATCCCCTTCTAACCATGACAAAATGCTCCCCTTCTAACAACAGACAGCTAATCCCATTCTAACCATGACAAAATGCTCCCCTTCTAACAACGGACAGCTAATCCCCTTCTAACCATGACAAAATGCTCCCCTTCTAACAAGAGACAGCTAATCCCCTTCTAACCATGACAAAATGCTCCCCTTCTAACAACGGACAGCTTATCCCCTTCTAACCATGACAAAATGCTCCCCTTCTAACAACAGACAGCTAATCCCCTTCTTACCATGACAAAATGCTCCGCTCCCAACAACGGACCGCCAACCCCCGTCTAACCATGACAAAATGCTCCCCTTCTAACCACAGCTAATCCCGTTCTAACCACGGACAGCTAATCCTGTTCTAACCACGGACAGCTAATCCCCTTCTAACCATGACAAAATGTCCCCCTTCTAGCCATGAGATAAAATGCCTTCCTACCCCCCTCATCTAGCCATTAATAGCTAATCCCCTTGTAACCATGAAAAAAATTGCTTCCCTTCTAGCCAACAGAAAAATCTTTCCACACCACATACAGCTAATCCCCTTCCTTTCCAGCCATTAATAGCTACAGATGCTTCCCCTCAAACCATGAGTAGCTTCTCCCCCCAACCACGAAAGGCTACTTCTCCTGAAATAATGAGCAGCTACACACCCCACCCACAAGGTATTTTCCCCCTCAAACCAAAAGTAGCTACTCCCTCCGGTCAAATACTCATGGATACACCATTCCCTCTGGGTAATCCACCTAACACACAGATTGGGTACCTTGTGTTCCCATTTAATGTATACACTGGGTACCTCACACACTACTCCGTGTCCCCCATCTAATGTATACATTTCGTACCTTGCATTCCAGCGTCTGATTCTCCCATTAAACCTCCATGGCCTAACCCTGGAGAGCTGCCCAATTCTCCAGTAGCAGACCCAGTAAGTTCGTCTAGAAAATTGGTCTCGCCATCAAACAGCCCTAGAATGGGCTCATCTGCCATTGTCAGGCCTTAGGTACTTACCTGGGCAGATACAATCAACCGTTTATTAAACAGGCAGATAACTGCTACTTTACTGGGTAGGCAAGACATTTATTGTTCCTTATACAGGCATACAACTACTACTCTTCTTGGCAGGCAGACATTTACTGTTCCTTAAACAGGCAGACAAATCCTATTCTACTGGGTAGGTACACATTTACTGTTCCTTAAAGATTCAGCCAACTGCTATTCTACTGGGTAGGCAGACATTAACCGCTCCTTAAACAAGCAGACAACTTGCTACTCTAGTGTGTTGGCACACATTTACTGTTCCTTAAACATGCAGCCAACTGCTATTCTACTGGGTAGGCAGACATTAACTCCTTAAACATTCAGCCAACTGCTATTCTACTGGGTAGGCACACATTAACTCCTTAAACATTCAGCCAACTGCTATTCTACTGGGTAGGCACACATTAACTCCTTAAACATGCAGCCAACTGCTATTCTACTGGGTAGGCAGACATTAACTCCTTAAACATGCAGCCAACTGCTATTCTACTGGGTAGGCAGACATTAACTCCTTAAACATTCAGCCAACTGCTATTCTACTGGGTAGGCAGACATTAACTCCTTAAACATGCAGCCAACTGCTATTCTACTGGGTAGGCAGACATTAACTCCTTAAACATGCAGCCAACTGCTATTCTACTGGGTAGGCAGACATTAACTCCTTAAACATGCAGCCAACTGCTATTCTACTGGGTAGGCAGACATTAACTCCTTAAACATGCAGCCAACTGCTATTCTACTGGGTAGGCAGACATTAACTCCTTAAACATGCAGCCAACTGCTATTCTACTGGGTAGGCAGACATTAACTCCTTAAACATGCAGCCAACTGCTATTCTACTGGGTAGGCAGACATTAACTCCTTAAACATGCAGCCAACTGCTATTCTACTGGGTAGGCAGACATTAAACTCCTTAAACATGCAGCCAACTGCTATTCTACTGGGTAGGCAGACATTAACTCCTTAAACATGCAGCCAACTGCTATTCTACTGGGTAGGCAGACATTAACTCCTTAAACATGCAGCCAACTGCTATTCTACTGGGTAGGCAGACATTAACTCCTTAAACATTCAGCCAACTGCTATTCTACTGGGTAGGCAGACATTAACTCCTTAAACATGCAGCCAACTGCTATTCTACTGGGTAGGCGGACATTGCCGCTCCTTAAACAAGCAGACAACTGCTATTCTAATGGGTAGGCACACATTTACTTTTCCTCAGACAGACAATTGCTATTCTATTGGGTAGGCACACATTTACTGTTCCTCAAACAGCAGACAACTGTTACTCTACTGAATAGGCAGACATTTACAGTGCACTGCATAGACAAAACCACATTTACAGAGATACAAAATAAGTTACCAGTGATTTATAACAAGAAAAGTTACAAAACATGTATATCTCCAAGCTTCACAACAACAAAAACACAAACAAAACGTGAACGTTGCGACTATGGAGACTTCATCAGCACACAAATACAAAAAATCACTTAGTATCTTAAAGCAGCCAGGTCGATGAGTTACCAGTAGACTGGCAAGACAGTGGGACAGGAGATTAAATACCCCAGGGAAATGCCAAGGGCTGTAACTGGAGGGTTTTAGATAAAACTGTATGGGCAGTTCAATCCCCCAAGATTTTAGATGAAACTGTGTTAGCAGTTCAGTCCTTTAAGCATTAACATGCCCAACCAAAGTGAAAATAAAGTGATTGCGGACCAATTATCTATAGCAATGTTCCTTCTCCACAATAAAGGTTTTATGCAGTGCACCCATTGTCATCTCCAGGAGTAAGACACATGAGGTCCCAATCTTTTCCATGGAGCAACCCTCATATGACAGTCCAAAATTAGCCAAAACAGTCTATTTTTTTAAAAAGAACCTAGCAAAATGAGGATCTAGACATTGTGAAGGGCACTGAGCCATACAGCCGCATTTGCCAGTTTTTCAAGGGCAAATAATTAATTTTCTTTTACATAAGAAACACAATTACATTTTTTTAAATACCTGGACAATTACTTTTTATTATTTTTATATTACATAAGCAAAACAACTTGTTACACAAGGCAAACAACTTGTAATAACATAAAAAAGCTATGATGATAATTATGTTGTTATTTTACTGCAAGCAGAAACAATGTTGCAAAGGCAGAAACAGTTGAACATGTCTGAACAAAACATATGAAAATAGAGATTGTCGCAGACTAAACGCACAGCAAAGACAGATCATTAATACAATACAATTAGCATGCGATCCACGCGCTATATGCTAGGCCTCTACTGCCCAGATTTATCCCACGGGCCGCTAGTTGAAAAGCCCTAAAACAGAGGGTTAAAGTACTACATAGATCCTGTATTTTTATATGCATGTGAGCAATGGACATCAAGCAAAAATGCTGCAAAAACCTAGCAGAGTTTTTTTTTTTTAAGAATGCAATAAATATCATGTAATGATAGAGAGAAAAAAACAGAGGTTATCCTCAAAACAAAACAAAAACTAGAGAAATTAGGCTCATTCAGTGTTGTTGTTTTTTGGGACATGTCATTAGAAGAAACTGACTCAAGAACTTAGTTACAATGGCAATAGTGATAGAACAAGGATCAAAGGGAGGGCAAATAGATTAATATCTCGATGACTTAGGCACGACCAGGACTTTCTTCTGTCAGCACCCAATTGTACGCAGTACTGACACCTTGGTCAGCACCTATGCAATAAGCACCTTTTTAAGATGGTGAGAACCGACACCTCTGCTCTAAAGAAAAAGCCCTGGGTGAGAGAGCATTGACATGATCACTGATTTTGGTAATCATGTGAGATGATGCCTACGGTCATCAGCAGGGCACATGATGATGATAAACAACTTTTCCCAGATTGCTTCTTTATACTTGAGAGACAATTTAAAAACAATCAAATGCCTGTTGTCTTTACAACAGAGACAGACAGCAGTGGATAAAAGTCGCATCAGGGAATATTAATTCGTAGGACCTCATTTCTCTTCCACAGTGCAACTCTCCTTCCACTGTCAGCAAACCATAAGAAGTCTTTACTTCAAATGCTATATTAAAAACTCAGCCTTAAATGGGTACCAGCTAAAGTCGTAGGAAGTAGACACGACCAGCGTGATGTTGACTGCATCACCCACCAAGTGCTGACTGGTCTATAAACTATAGGTCTAGCCCTATATACCCACAATGCCTGAAAATGTGAAAAAGGAAACTTTACTTTTATGTTTTATGTCTGATCAGGAATCAACATCAAAGCACTCGAGACATTCCCATAAGCGCCCTGTCTCCATCTTCAGCAGCAAGCACCGAGTTCCAATTCTAGAGCTTTCCAGAGCTGCAGAGTTTGTGCTCTGTGCTTGATAACATCTTCAGCAAGCAACCCAGAGAGTGGGGAAAGGAGCAGATGAAGGAATGCCGAGATGAAAAAGTAGTTTTTTTTTTTTCAATGGTAAAGTGAATAAGAAAGGCAGACTACTTTTCTTTTTCCTTGTCTATTTAGACAGACATTATATTATTCGGAACTTTTTCATGAAGATCAACTGCCACCGCATTTCAACAATCTTATTCTTCTTTTTCTTGCTGTCCACCGGCTGTAAACTTTGGCAGACAGCTCTGGTTTTCATCCAAATATAGGTTTTAATCTTGTTTCAGAACTTGAGTTTTGTATGCACATGTTTTTTTCTTCCAGATCTGGCTTTATTGGATGCAGACTGTTGGTTTCTCACCTCTTAATACCTCACAGGAAGAATCCTTACTTAGTTGCCTCCTACGACATGCTTGCTAGGGAGACAGTGGGTCTCTACCCCCCCCCCCCCACAAATGGGGCAACAGGACCCACACAAGGAATGAATGAAATGGTTTATCAGTTGCTCCCTTTTCTATAAATGCCAGTTAATATCTTTCAGATGTACAAACCTTATTAACTTACATTATAAGTTTAACTGGATAGTAGAAAAACACAGTTACCAGAGGAATTATTGGGTCTGATTCTCAGTCGGCACTGCAGAAGGCTCAAAATGGACTAATGTGGCATGAGTGGATACCATGCATCAGTACGCCAACATTGCAGGGAATCACATGGATATACTGTCTAGACATGCAGGAGTGTGTGGAAATGAAAAAGCGGATTTTCTAGCTGCAAAAGCGAAAACTACGGAAACACTCGCACTAGACAAGCGAGATATTCTGAAGATCATATAGGAACGACTGCTGATAGAAGACACTAGATTAGAGGAAATACTATGGGTAAGTGTGGATTAAGAGTGGATCCAGCAAGGAGACAGATAGAGGAAGAGAACAACGTGTATAATTAGTATGCTACAGGAACAGTTAGCATTTACACCTCAAGACATTTACTGCGGGATAAGGAACATCTATGGGTACGCCCTGTGTGCTATGATGTTGATTCTCAAATCAGTAACATAAATTATGCTTTAAACAGATAATTAGGACACAATTCTCACAAACAAGAAATTAAAAAATGTAAGAATAATACCGGAAAATATCTAAAGATGCAAACAGGAATACAAAGCTAATGTTAGATATGACAAATACAGTGTGAAATTTGAATGGCAAACATATCACACAAACAAATCACTCACCGAAAACAAAAGCTCACTAGCGTTGCATTATGCATGCAAGAAAGTAACAATTAGGTACCAAGTCTGTACCTGGGGATGAGAAAAATGGCCAATTAATTTCTTCTTTATGTTCACTGGCTCCAGCAGAAGGGGATTTTGGTCTTGTTCCAGAATTTAAGTTTTGCATTCACATTCATTGTACAGATTTGGCTGTTTACTGTTGGTTTCTCGCTTCTCAGGCAAATGCAATCAGACTTCGAAGGCAACACCCCTAGCTAGTCGACTTTGACTACATACTTGCTAGGCAAGCAGCGGGTCTCACAGCAGGGTCCTGGAACCCACGAAGGGATGTCCAATTAAAGATTG